TTCGGGACGGGGCTCAGCTGTTGGGGTGACATTCTCAATTTCGGGAAAGTGCAGAAACACATCTGGTTTTTCCTTGACTGCTGGTTCTGTCAGTGAGGATGGATTTGCTCGCCCCCTAGGGCGGCTTCTGCCGGTCGCGAGCACTGGGGTCCTGAGCACACGGAGCCAGCAGGGCGGCCCGGGGTCCCTGGCCCAGTCAGAGGGGGAGCCTTGGCTCCGCTGCTGACCGCCTGCAGATCCTGGGCGAGTCACCCCTTGCCCCCACCTTCCGCTTGGTGGGGCTTGGACCACCGGGGATCCTCTGGCTCTGGTCCAGACAGCCCAGCTTATGAACTGTCCCCACTGGCACAGATGGCAGGGCCGTGATGGGGCTGCTTGCCCTTTGCCCTGGTGAAGTCTATTACCCTTGGTGGCAGCCTGGCCCTCGGGCAGTTTGAGAAAGGAGGCCACCAGGTCAGCAGTGTGTCACTAGCCAGAAGGCCCCAAAACTATAGGGTTTTTCCTGGCTCTGGGATTTGACAGGAGTATTCTTCCCCAGGGACGAACAGGAAAGCATACAGACAGCGGGCATGATCTCATGGCCCCTGGAGCTCCCGCATCCCAAGAGCATCTCACAAGGAACCAGTGGTTCCATCGTCCCAGGGAGAAGCCTATGAGGTGGGACCCCCAGGGTGTCTTCTGCTGACCCTCCTTCTGGGAATGCCAGGAGCTGACGGCACCGTGTGGCCTGTGATCACCTTCCTGCTTCAGAACTGCAGTTCAGGCATAAGAATGCAAGCATTCCACACGTTTTGATCGTAACTGAATTATCTCGGTGGATTTTCAGGCAAAGGCAGTTCTCTGCTGAGAGCCCTAATGGGTCCCACGTCTCTTCCTGTTCTGAGTCTGCAGCAGGGGGCAATTTTCTGCCCATGAAGTGCTGGTTTGGGAAGTGCAGTCAGACAGGGGAGGCGCAGGGGGCTGCAGCCGCCTGGTAATCGGGCTTGCAGGATCCCAGTCCACCTTGTCTTTATTCAGCTGTGAGCCTCTTACCATCTCCTACATGCCTCGTACTCTGCCTGTCAGGCTGCACCCCTTATGCGCCTACAGGCTCTTTTAAATCGTGTGGTTTAATTTCAAAACAGTTGTGCTTTTCATGATTCCTTTTCTAAACAGGACCAGCTGCTACCTGGGAATTATTTTCTTTCCAACTCCTGTGATTGGACTTTTCACGCTACTTCTCCTGTCTTCCTCTTTGTGACATGAAGAAACACCCGTATGTAAAATCCCAGCTCTTCCTCCACTCAGCAGGTCCAGGGGAGCACCAGCGGGCGAGGCCGTCAGGAGGAGCAGTGGGGTGCCTGCCCACCCCCGACACTGATTGGAGAGGGGGTGCTCACCATGCGGCAGCATTATGCGAGCAGTCAGCCATGGCTGCCGGTGTGAAATGGGCAGGAAGAGCCGGGTAATCCCTGGTTGCCTTCCTGTTCCGAGACACCGACAGCACAAAGCCCATAGCAGGGTGACACCGTGCCCTTGTACCCTCAGGAGGGTGGGAGCCCAGGGCTCCCCCAGAGAGGAGGGCAGGAGGGGTGCCGCCCCCACATGAGGAGGGTGGTGGCGAGTCCTGAGTGTGCCCGGGCTTTTCAGTGATCCAACTGTCCAGGCGGGAAGGTTTGCTGGTACTGTGCACTGCAAGGATGCGGATCAGGCCATCACGTCTGCCTCTGGGAAGCAGGACTCCCAGTCAGCAGCACAGAACAACCTTTGAGGCTGCAGGTCCACCACAAGGGGTTTGCTCACGCTGCAGTGATGGCACCAGGCAGACACGCAGTGGTGCCTGCAGCGGTCAGCGGGGGTGGACCACGCCCAAGGGTGCCGCCTGGCCTCTAACGAAAGAGATGGGGCCACGGGTCCAGCCTGTGGGACTCCAGAGGCACGAGAGCAGCAGAGCCTGGCCGTGTGTGAGTGTACAGCTGTCTGTCTGTACAGCGACATCTCTCTACCTTTAGGTTGGCAGGTCGTTCCAAAGACAAGATCTCGGTGACAGCAGTTGGCTCTTCTCAGAGGGACTGGGGTTCCAGGTGGGAGGGAGACTTCCCACCAAGGGTGTTTAGTTACTCTTTGAATTTTTTTTTTTTTTTAAGAAAAAGACTCCCTCATTAGTGTACCAAGGACTCCATAACAAATAATCACAAGCTTCTTGGCTTAGCGCAGCAGAAACGTACTCTCTAGGTTCTGGAATCCCTAGGTCCGGAATCAGCAGTTACAGGGCTGCGCTCCATCCCCCGGCTCCGGGGAGAGTCCTCCCCATCTCTGTCTCTCCGTCTCTCCACCCCAGGATTCCCTGGCAGGTGGTCCCGTGACCCCATCCCTGCCTGTCCTCACCCGGCCTCACCCTCCCCCGGATCTCCCCCTTTCTTGTCCCACTGAGTCACACCACTTCTCCCCCATCCCGCTTTGCTGCATTGGCAAGATTTCCTCGTCAGTAACTGCCCAGCGTCGCCCGGTTCTGTGGTGTACATACCAACCCCACGCCAACAGGCAGGTTCTTCCTGGGGTTTTGTTACGACACAGGCTGAGGAGCACGTATCTCCCAGACTAAGAACTGCCCTGCGCATCCTGCACGTGTTCAGGTGACACCTGTCCAACAGGGCATCGCAGTGAAAGGGGTATGGGTGTCCATCACTGATGGATGGCGCCCCGACCTCTAAGCCGCCACATGCAGGCCTTTTCTGCAGTGTGTTTCCCTCCCAACCTTTCATTTCAAAACACGGTAAACCTCCAGAGAAGTCTGAATACCTGCGGGTGCCCAGACAGCCTTCTATGGGGTCCCCAGCTGTTGTGTTCCCTCCTGTGTCGGCCTGCCAGGGCTCCCATAACGAGGTAGCACAGATGGGGGCCCCATAGACGGTTCTCTCCCAGTCTGGGGGCTTGAAGGCCCGGGTCGGGGTTTCAGGGGGAGGCCTCGCTCCATGGCTCTCCTGTGTCCTAATCTCCTCCTTTTTACAAGAATAGCAGTTGTGTTGGGTGAGAGCCGCACCCTCTGTCCCCCACTGTCCCACCGTGACTGCATTTTACCTTAACCACCTCTTTTAAGGCCCCATCTCCCCATGCAGTCACATTCTGAGGACTGGGGGTTTGGGCATCAACATACTGGGGTCGGGGGCACAATTTGGCCCATAACACATTTGCTTCCCTTTTATATATGATATGCCATACTAATATAATCATAAATAATAGACATTCTAACATAATTGTTATATTTATTATTTATAACTATAATGTATTATAATTACACCATTTATGTTTATTACATATAATTACCACCTACAATGTATAATTTTTCCCCTAAACCATGGTAATTGCAGCCATTTTGGTACTTCAGAAAGTGTCCTAAGAATAGGGACGTTCTCCTTTGGGTGTGTTTTGATGTCCTTTATTTTCCACAAGGGGGCAGATTCCCCTGAGGCAGAAGAACGGGGAGCCTGACGTTGCCCTGCCCTGACGGGGCTTCCCCTGCAGTGTTTGGCCAGGGCCGGTTCCCCACGCCTCCTCCCTGAGCCTCCAGCCCCTTGGCGAGACTTGGACGCCCGTGGGAAGGGGCCCTCGTGCCTGGAGAGCCGTTGGGCTGAGCAGAGCCTCCTGGCCTCAGCCCCACATTCTTCCCTGCGGCGGGGTTTGGGGTCTGTGATGTGTCAGTGGAATGTCAGGCCTCTGCAGCCCCACCTGCCTTTCGGTCACTCTCCATCAAAGTCTGAGCACCAGACTCCGTCCATCTGGCGTACAGACAGTCCTTGCCTGCCAACTGCGGCCGCCAGTGGTGGCGTAGAGAAGCCGGTCTGCCGCCCCACAGCCCCCTCCGCCTGCTCACCGGCAGAGGCCGTTTCTTGCTGCCAGGGGTCAGGCACCCTCCGTGGGCTCACATTCCTGCTGACTTTCCCTCAGTACTTCGCAGGAAAAGGTCACACATGCGTCACTTCAGTGTTTCAGTGGGTTTCTAAATCTGTTTTCAGTAGGTTTTAGTAGGTTTCTAAATCCGTGGAAAACATCTGTTGGGGCTTCAGTGGAAGACAAGACACCTAGAAAGCTTGTCTCCTGCTCAGACAGTTGTGTCTGGAGACCCGCGCTGGAATCTGGGTCAGCGTGGGGAGGCCTTTGCCACCCGAGTGCGGCCTGCAGCTGCGTGAGCGCCCCACCCCCGCCGACTCCCCTGCAGCCAGTGTCCTTCCCATCCCCTCCACCCCCAGAAACCCGCCATCTGTGGGTCTCAGAGCTGCTCCTCCGAAACCATCCCGACATCCTCTGCCGCTGGCTCAGCACCGCCCCTGCTTGCTTCCCTGCGGGGTGCGCAGACCCCCGGCCCTGGCACCTTGGAGCCCCCCAGGGAGCTTTCGTTCGGTTTGGCTCCCTTGTCACCTGCCGTGTTCAAGCCAGATCCGGGTTCGGCAGACTCGGTGCCGTGGCCGGCCCGCCGGAGCAAGCTCGTGCTGTGTGCCCCCTCCCTCCCCGGCCGCTGCTGAGCTCTTCAGGACCTAGCTGGGCCTCCTCTCCGCACCAGCCCGATTCTAGGCAGGCCGCGCGCCCCCCCACCCCCCCGTGCCTCCCCTCCGCCTCAGACCCGCCTCTCCTCAGGCATGTGCCTGGCTTGGAGTAGCACCAAGGGAACGTTTGGGTGGATGGCTGGGTTTCTCATCGGGTAGAGCATCTTCCGAAGTTAGCAGTCGCTGCCTTCTGCTTTGTGGTTTCCAGTCCCTACCCAAGAGCTTTGTCACAAAGAAGAAAATGCAGTTCTCCACGTACTGTGAGGGGCCACCCTTCCTGGGTGTCCGTTCTGCAGCACGTACTGGTCGGCAGCAGTGCGGGGCCACTCGGACACTCCTGGCTCACTGCACGGTCAGATGATAGAGCAGGTGCCGTGACTAGGCTGCACGCAACCCGGGTGTCCTGACGCCCGGAGTGTTCTGTGCACTTCGCCTCGTTAGCTCCAAGGAAAGCTGAATGCCTGTCTTTTCTTTCAGTCAAACGCTTCAGAGAACCAAAGCACGAAAGACGCCCGTGGAGGATATGGTGCGTATTCACACACCCACGCGCTCCTAGGATGCCTTTGACTATCTGGGGGGCTCCTGGGGGTGCGGGATGGAATATGGGCAGTCGCAGTGACAAAGTGTTGGAGTCCCCTCATTGACTCAGTGACCAGGAGCTACGTACGGTGGGACAGCACGTCCATCCCCCAGCCCACAGGAGCCCTGTCTGCCCCGGTGCTGCCCCGTGTTAGACGGCAGGTCATACGGAGATGTTAGCCGTGTGTGGGCTCCTGTAATGACGCCCCCTGTTGTTAGATCGTGTTCAGTCCTGGGATCACATAGCCTGTTTGAGCAGAAGGTATCTGGATCGGAGGTCACTCAGCTATCCCGCGGGAATGCTCCTCACCCCCAGAATAGTCTCTCTTGGTCCCAGGATGACCCAGTGGTGACGATTTTTCCATCATAAAAATGGTGGTAAAGTTCAGATGTAGGTTCCAAAGGCGAGGCTACAAAAAAATAGGTCATTTGGAAGGCAGGAGCCAGCTCTTCAGGATGACGTGATGTCCACGAGAAGCCATCTTTCCTGAGCCGCCTGAGGCTTGCACCTGCCCGAACAGAGTAGCCATTGTCCCCTCCAGAGAAAACGTCCGATCAGTACTGTGATAAAGGCCCCTTTCTAAAATTTTAAGCATGCACTTGATTGATGTTCAATGCATTATTTCTGAATATTGGTAATTCTTATTTTTATTCTTCCCCAATTGGTTTCTCTCAAATCTGGGCACCTCACTTGGGCTAGGGGCTGAGGGAGGTGGGGCCTGCTGTATTTCATCCCCGTGCCCTACCTTACCATGACTTTAGCAAATCGTTTTCAAGCCTTGGTCACAGCACTGGGTCCCCTCCAGTACGGAGACTCCACGGCTGGGGTCGCATGCCCGGGTGTCTCTTCACCCCCTCGGTGGCCCAGCCCATCTTGGGATGCGCAGCCTGAGAGGCCAGGAGAAACAGCCACAGTCCGAAGGTGCCTCAGCCACAAGCCGCAAGTGACTAGACAGCGAAGGCCACATGTCATCTCCAGCATACTCCTCACACATGGACCGGGCAGGGGACAGAGCATCCCAGAGACTAACAGCCGTGGTTTTTTTTTTTTTTATTGAATTTCCTGTCCTCTAGCCCAGGGTTGGCAAACTATAGCCCACAGGCCCGGTCTGGGCTGCAGGGTCACTGAAATGGGAGAAAGTGTGCTGCAGAATGCCTGTCAGCGGCACAGCTGAGGACTTGGTCCAGCGAATGATGGCCCGCAAAGACTAAAATCCTCTCTGGCCCTTGGCAGAAGTTTGCCCCCTGACCTAGCCCACTGTTTGGGTGGCAGCAGCAGGCAGTTGCTTGGGGTCTCGGTGGCAGTCCTGGATTTGTGCAAGTCCGGTTAATCTCGCTCAGCGCCCAGCTCTCTGTGAGCACAGTCCAGTGGGAATTCTTTAGGTAGGGGCCTCTTGGACACCGTCACAGAGCTGTGACCATTTTATTTCACTTTGAAATAACAAAAAGTGAAAAAGTAAGAACACTTACTTTAAATAGGTGGTTAATGTGTTTGGTGTTAGCTAATCAGTAGCCTTTTAGGAATTTCAAGTGTTATTGAAGGTTTGGGAGGGTAGCTACCGACCACTCCTGCCACAGGGGGAGCTGGCTGGGAGGTGTTAGGTTGGGGTTTCCCTCGTGGCTTTTTCCTTCTCAGACTTACCGTTTTCCCCAGTTGGACCTCACCCTCCGGATGGGGTGGTAACAGTTGCCGATCCTGTTTTGTACAGGTTTTTAGACACTTCCAAACAAGCCATAGGAATGCTGTTCATCCACTTTGCAAATGTGTACCTAGCAGACCTCACCGAAGAGGACCCTTGTTCACTGTAAGTGGCCCGGATCTGAGTACAAGCCCCACCCGCCCCGCCATTAAAAATGTAGGCTGGCCTCTATCTCCCTGTAGCTCGAGAAGGGTGCAGCTCCCCGTTGTCCTCTGGGCGGACCGCGCGTGCCGCCCTAAGCCCAGATGCTGCTGCCAGCCATGTGGCTTTGCCTGGTGACAGCTGCTCTGTGCACAGCTTTCTCCTAACCGAGCTAAATTCTGTCCCTTATTTTTTGAGGACACTTATGTCCCCCCGGTTTCCAAGCAGCTTCTGGCAGCACAGCATAGTGCCCTGAAGGAGTGTGTCTGTGCTGGGACAGGACACGGGGCTTCCCTGTGGTGTCAGCCACTCAGAGTCAAAGCCGTTGTTGTCACCATTGACCGCAGTGACCTGAAGACCGTGGGTGGTGTCTTCCCATAACGTGGTCTGCCTTCCACACAGTCCCCAGAGCAGCCTGTGTGAGACCCCCCAGTCAGTCCGTGATACACCGTCCTCCTTGCTGACAGCCCCCAACCTAGCCTCCCTTCACCGCTGCAGTGGAAAAGGAGGCTGCCTGCCTCACGCCGGCGCCATCTCCTGCCCTCCTGGCTCGGAATCGTCGCTCCAGCCATGCTCGGCCGGTGCCAGGGGCCCTCAGCCCTCCAGCTGTCTCCTGCCTCTGCGCCCGGCTCCCACTGCCCTCCGCCTGGAAGGCCCTCCCTGCCCTGCCTGTGAGGGAGAGGGGTGCAGAGGGCTGATGAGTGCCTTGCCCAGAGGTTTGGGGTGTAGTTAAGATCCTGTGGGCTGGAGCATTCTTACAAGCTTCTCTTTTTTGGCGACAGTGTGCAGTTTGAGACTTAGTCCAGGCCCAGATTGCCAGAGGCAGTTGTGAATTCTCCCTCTCCGGAGCCTTGCCTTCAGACCTGGATCGGTCGTGATCTGTTTGGATGTTTGGGTGCCCCAAAGCAGGGAGGGGCCCGGAAGGGTGATCCTCCTGTAGGGGAAATGGTTAGAAAAGGGCCTTGTCCTTTCAACTCTTGGCTCAGCAGCGGGTTCATGTCCTCTGTTGAATGGTCTTGATGTCATTGGCTGAGGTAGGCTCGGCCTGCTGCTCACCCAGGGGCCCTGGGCTGAGGAACCCTAACTCCTGGTGTGGCTGTGGCCACACGGCCCTCCTGTGCTGCTCCTCTGTCGCCCATCTGCACAAAGGTGCCGCAGCATTAGGGCACATTGGCAGGCTGATCACAGCCAGGACGCGGGGGCTGTTGGCACATCTCCAGGGCTCAGCCTGGAGGAGGAAAGGCCGGGGACAGAGTTGGTGTTGGTGGAAAGAGCCGTTGATGGAGAGGCCAGACTGGGAGGCAGCCTGACGTCCCAGGGCAGCAGTTTCCTCATCTGCCCTGTGGGTCCTGCTAGGTCCCGTGGTCACCACGGAGGTTCCTTGAGGTGATGAGTAGAAGCACCCCAGGAAACCACAGGCTTGTCACTCTAGCTGCTCACCGTCGAGTTGGAGGATATGGTTGTGAGAATGTGCTGGGAGCCCCAGCAGCCAGGAGCTGCCGGCTGGGAGACTGGGAAGGCAGAGCGGGCAACGCTGCAGGAGCGGCAAGGCCCTGGGCCCGCAGGAGGGCCAGTGCTGCCCTGGGACCCAACCTGGGCCCCACCGTCATCTCTGCCCGACTTTACCAATCGTGGAGGGTGGGGCTGGACCTGGGCATCTTGGGAGTCCCAGACCTAGACGGGAAACCCGTGGCAGCTCAAGGAGGAGGCACTCAGAAGTGGGGACAAGTGGCTCAGCGTGCTGCTGGCATCCCCTGTGCTGGGGTGGCTGCTCTCCAGCGTCCAGGGTCCGTGATGGAGAGGCGCTAGGGTTCTCACGGCACGTATATACAGAGCCCACTAGGTGGCAGGTGTCGCCAGCACGCACAGATTCTTTTGATCCTTAAAACAGCCCCGCAGGACAGACGCGGTTGGGGAACTGCGTGAGGCACAGAGCGACTACTCAGCTGACCACGTTCCCCCAGCCCAGGAGTGACAGCAGGGATTGGAGCCCAGCCAGTTTGGCCCTGGGGCCCTTTGATACTGTGCTGTCTGTCAGTCTCTTCTGGGCTGGGGACAGATAGAGCTTTCTGCCTTTATTCCCAGGGCCAGCTGAGCTCCCAGGAAGGCCCGGTGAGGGGACGCGTGAGCTAACGTGGGCATGGGTACCAGGTCTGTGTGTCGCTTTCAGGAGGGGTCTCAGATCTCAGAATCTCTTGAAACCAATTAGATGTATGCCTCTGAGAACCACAGACAGTAGGGAGGGCCAAGTTGGGCTGTGGACCTGGAGTCCCTGTTCCTTCCAACTCCGGTCTGAGAGTGACCCCTTGTGATTTGAAAGAGGAAGGGCAGGCAGGAGACAGCGCCGCCCCACCTCTGGTCTGGTCACTCCAGGGTGCTGGCAGGGTCTGCTCCCTCCAGTATCAGAGTGCTGCGGACATCGCCAAGGCCCGGGCCTTGGGGTGGGGGTTGTGGGTCTGAATAAAATGTCTCAAGCCTCAGCACCTCAAGCGAGGAGGTTGGTATATAGTATCAGAGCTTCTCTGGGGGGGTTCTGAGTCTTGGGACACCCCAAAGGGCAAGGACCTGACCGCATGACTGTGTGTCTCCTGTGTCTGGGGCCTGTGGTTGGTGCCCTGTGAGGCCTGGGTATGGGTACAGGGCCCTTGGCAGACCAGTGGGCAAGGGGTCTTTCGCTGGAGAGGGGAGAGGTGTGTGTCGGACAGATGGAGACAGCCGTGTGGGACCACGTGGTCCAGGTGTGCGGACTCTGCTGCGCCTCCTCCTTTTCCCTGGGGAGTGGAGCGCTCTCTTCAGAAATATTTACATGTACTTGTCTCCCCAGCCGGCCCTGAGGCTCAGGACGGGTGAGGGCCACGTGGCCCTGCCTGTGGGCGGCGTCCTGGACGGGGTGCCACAGCACTGACTGGGCCTGGATGGTCTGGCCGCCTGAGTGAGCAGGGTCACTGGGGGTCTGTCAGGAGGCTGGTGTGCCTGCCGCCCTCCTGGGCCGCCGCCTCTGGCGAGTGTCCCTCTCGTGGGTACCTGAGGTCTTCCAGGTTTCTTTCACTCCCCACTCTCCCCTATGCTGTTGGACCCCTGATGAGTGTGGGCCACTGTCAGAGGCTTTGCCGCCCCCCACAGTCCCAAAGAACTCAGCCAGAATGCTGGGTCGGAAGCCTTGACCTTGGCCCTGGCCGGCACTCCGTGGCTTGGGCTCCTGCGCCCCACCAGTGCTTCCTGACAGGGCCGTCATGCCCTCTGCCCACAGGTACCTCATCAACTTCCTCCTGGATGCCACCTTGGGCATGTTGCTCATCTACGCAGGTGTGCGCGCCGTCAGCGTCCTGGTGGAGTGGCAGCAGTGGGAGTCCCTGCGCTTCGGCGAGTATGGTGAGGTACTCCAGACCCAGGCGGGTGGGGCTTCCCGGAGGGGGCTCTGCGCGGTCCCCACTCAGCCCTCCACCCGGGTCCGAGGCTTCACTGCCCAGGCTCCCACTGGGTGGCAGGAGGCAGGAGACACCCTCGATCAGGGAGCGGCCACGGCGTGTTCCTCTTCTGCCAGAGGGCATGGGCAGTCCCACCTGTAGGCCTCAAGGCCCCCTTCCTGCTGCGTGTCTGCGCTTGTCCCTTCTGGGGCCACAGGATCAGCCCTGGAGGGTCCATCGCCTGGAGCCAGCTTGCCTCGCCGTCTCATGGCCCTGGGCTGGCCTGCCACCCAGCATCTGGCATGCTCATTCACCAGGGACACCAGATCCATGCTACTTGCAGACGCAGGTTTGAACAGGTGACCTGTGGATGCTGACCCAGCTCTGAGCACTCCATCTGATCAGACCCCATGGGACAGCTTGGGCAGGAGGCTGCCTTCCTGCCAGCTTCAGGCACAGGCATGGTACCTTTGGAGCTACAGGGCTGCTGGATAATATGCCACTTCGTATGCCCAGAGACATGGCTTCGTGTGACCTCAAGAAGCCTCTGGTGAGGGTACCCTCTTCAGGCCCTGCTGCCCCCCGGGGATTTGGGGCCCTGGTTTAAGGAGTAAGGGCACCTGTTCCGCCTTCACAGCTCCTGTCCTCAGTGGGAACAGCATCAGCGGAGCCTTGGTGTGAAAGGGACACACAGGACAAGAGGGAGGGAATGCAGGCGGGATTTTGGACTCCGCTCTCCTTTCCTGGCCACACCTCCCAAAGGCTTACTTCTACCTGGCTCAAGAGTCCCAAGGGACCCACATTTAAAAGGGAGTCCATCTGTGGAGCTGGCTGTAAGCGCCTTGGGTATTTCTAGAAACCTTAAGTAATTGTTTGTCTCCATTGAGGGGAGATGAACTCAGAGGAGGGCTTTTCTTAGCCCTGTTACTTGATCCCGGGTGAATCACTGACTTAAGATAGTGTCTGACACACGGCATGTGCCCCTGTGGCTCGAGGAGAGCTTCGGAGAAGCTCCAGGTCATCGGACAGAAGTGGCCCAAAGCAGCCGCATCCTCACTTACCGGGTAGGCACCCAGAGGGACTAGTGACACACGAGGCTCACCTAGCCAAGGCACAGCCGGGACAGGGGGCCGAGGCTGCCACACTGGGTACCCAGTTCCCCCAGCACCTCCAAGAACAGTGCTCACACCCCTTCTCTGCTGTTAAGAACCCTCCTTGGAAGGCAAGGCCCTCAGCTCAGCTGTAGCTGACCAGTGCACGGAGACGCACACACAGCCAGTTACATGCCGCTTGGTGCCCTTTCAGTGAAGACACATTCTCAGCATGTAGTTCTGCCTCCCCAGGGGCAGGCTGGGAGGAGGCGTGGTGGTGGTGCCTCCTCCAGCCTTGGCCTGCCCGGCGCTCCCCGTGGGCTGTCCCACCTCTGCATTTGGAAAGCAGTCTTCCCCCTGCTCTTTGTCAAGGACCATCTGAGCCTCCCTCCCCAGGCAGAGGAAGAATAACGCATGTTCTCAGTTACCTGATTTCTATTTATGTTCATTTCTATTGTTTCTCTGCTGTTCCTGTAACAAATTACCATACCACACGTCAGTGGCTTAGAACAGCACAGATTTATTACCCAGCAGCCCTGTATCTCCAAAGGCCAGCATGGGTCTCCCTGGACTAAAACCAGGGTACTCGGCAGGACCACTTCCTTGGAGTCTGTGGGGGGGCTGGTCCTGGCCTCTTGGGCTCCCGGGGGCTCCCTGCATGCATTGGCTGCATCTGTGGGGCCAGTATTCTGCCTGCCAGACCTGTTGACCAGCCCGTCTGCCCCGGACAGTAATCCCACAGAGGCCCCGTGGCTGTCTTGTCCCATAAATGAAGAAGAGGGGCTTGCTTTCTATGCGCTTCCCTTTCCCTGCAGGAGAGGGTGAACTTGCTAACAAGAATGGGACTTGAATAAGCCACAGCCGAGGCAGGACCCAGGACACGAGTGTGTGTGCAGTGCGATGGCCAGGTGACCCTTCCCCCGGTGCAAGTCCAGAGTGGGGTCTGTGTCTCACAGGCACCAGTGGACTTTGCTGGCTGTGCTCCTTTGCAGAAGCCTCTGTAGGCGCAGACATGTTCCCTTCTCGTGTCCCCAACCCCTGATTTATCCTGAGGAAATAGTTCAGCAAGACAGCACCCGTGTACCTGAGGTTGTTTAGGGTGGTAAAGGGTTGGGACATGGCGAGAGTACCTGCCATATGTGTTCCTGAAAAGTGAGACCCTGGGGGAAGTTTGGGAGATGCTCAAATAAAACAGAAACAAACCACATGTTTGCTCATTCCAGCCGAGGCTGCATGTGGCCTGGGTGCACGGCAGGACCGGTGTGTGCACGTGGTCTCACCCATGAGCTTTTCCTTTCTTTGCCGTGGTTTTTAACTTTCTCTACAAAACATCAAAAAGAGAAAGAGGCAGCTGCCGCTAAGCTCTGGTGCTGGAACACAGAGCTGTGTGAAGACGGCGGGAGCCCCTGTCCCCTGGTGTCGGTCACTCTGAGCGGCAGATCAGCGCTCTGTGACTTTAAACACACCGGTCCCAGTTCAGAGGTAGCACTTTCTGTCTGACTGTCCCCAGTCTTACTTAACAGTTTTTAACAAATATTTGCATCTGTTGTGTTTGAGAATTTTTCTCAATAAGGACAGGTAGTTTACTGAAAGGATTACAAAAGTCCATTAAAATTCTAGCTCCGGGAGACTGTGTGCTTAGGAGATGTTTTTTTGGCTCAAGCATGTCTTATCCCAGAAGTGAAAGTACGCAGGGCGAGCTCAGAGGAGGCACCAGTGGCTTTTTGTGTGCTTCTCCCAAGGTTTTCCAGAAAAGGGAATGGCCTGGAGTATCCATTACAGCTGCATGAAGGCATTTGGGCGGGGCGGGGCTGGGGGCCTCCAGCACCGATGCCCGGATGGACGGGGATCGCTGTGGAAACTGTAGGGTCAAACGACAAGCTCAAGATGCCCCCCTGGGCCAAATCCGCTTCTTCCCGCCTGGATCGGGGCCTTGGCCTCTGATGTGTTACTCTCCGCACCTCTTTGGGACAGCCGTGTCAAGAGCTCCCAAGCAGGCCCCTGGGAGCCTCCCCCACCCTACTCTGCCTGAGTCTCCCACTGTGGGGAGGTGTGCGTTGCTCCCCAGAGGCCCATCCTGTGGGTCCTGCCTGTTGCTGAGGGTGTAGCTCATTTCTGGGAGGGGCTGGCCCTCTGCCCTTTGTCACATCCCTTGTGGAATACTCTGGAGGCACTCCAGGCCCTCGCCCGCCAGCATGGACTGTTGGGCTTCTCCAGTGTCCAAGCACGGTGACCCGTGGGATCACAGGTGGACCTTGTCATCCGCAAGGCACTGCCGGTGCTCCTGCCTCCTTGCCTTGCCGAGCGGCCCTTTTCTTCCTTGTCCCCAAGCACAGGTGTTCTGAGGTGCCCCAAACTAGACACAATCTGAATTCCTCTAGCCTCAGGTTTCTGCTTTCAGGGCCGAGGGCGGCAGGAACAGCCGGGGGTCGAAGAGGGGGTGGGAGACGGCCAGGAGGCTGTTTGCTGCTTCACAGTCAGCGTCAGCCGCTCAGGGACGGAGGGCAGGACCGACAGCAGCACAGTCCTGGAAAAATCAACAGTGGGTAATAATAGCGGTGTTGCCTAACGCAGACAGCCTCTGCCGGTGGGTGGAGACAGCCAGCTTTTCTGAGCTGCCAGCAGAAGCCTCTTGCTAACTTTAGTGCACTTTAATTATATCTTAGATCCTCTTGGAAGCAAAGCCACTCTGGTACCTCCAAATTAGGAATTCTCCTTTTTGTTTAGAATGCCCTCGTCTGTTTGAGCAAAGTGCTTCTTGTGGCTTTGGGGCTCTTTGGGGGGCTTTAGAGCAGGGGCACCAAGGGGGACAGCAGGGTGGGGGTCCCCAGTCCCCGGGGGGCTGATGTCTGGGCCGAGCGGCTGAGTGCCCCTTGTCCCCGCAGGGGACCCGCTGCGCTGCGGAGCCTGGGCTGGGCAGTGCGCACTCTACATCGTCATCATGGTCTTTGAAAAGTCCGTCGTCTTCCTCGTCCTCCTCATACTGCAGTGGAAAAAGGTTTGCCCCTTGTCCCTTCTTCAGCAGCTCGCGACACTGACCTCCCTACCTCCCCAGCCTGCTTGGAAAACCAAATATGTTGTTTCCTTAATTTCTTTAACCCTGTGACTGCACCCTGGATTTGGTCGGCTGCTTTGTCAAGAGGAGCAACTTGTCTGTTTACATAGCATCCACCTACTTCAGTTATATAAATGTCACTCTGGACTCAGCCTCGGGCATGTAACCTGATGGAAACGAGTCCCTGCCCTCCAGGCTTGCTGTCTGAGAGCCTTCAGGCCGCACTGTGAACACAGGAGGCTTCTCTGCCTCTGCGATGTCTTGTCTTCACGCACCCGTCTTGGCAGGGGTAAAGGAGCCGTTTGGTGCTGCAGGCACAGCTGGTCCCCGGTTCCCGTGTTCCCTTGGCCCTGCACTCTGGGGTCAAGGAGCTCAGATCTTGGCCTGCCTTTGCTTTTATTTGTGGCTGAGTTTTTATATTTTAAGAAAGTAAATGAAGGCTTTTAGGAGCGGTCTTGTAGCTCGTTGCAAGGGTCTGTTGTGGGCACCCACCTCCCTCCCTCCCAGTCCCTGAGGCCCACACTGCCCCGTGCCTCCGGACGAGTGGGCCCTGCTTTCCTCAGACTCTGCATGGCTCAGTGGCTGTGAACCTCCTGAGCTCCCCAAATCCACACCATGGGGGATGCTGCCCAACTGAGCGCTCCCGGGGACCGCAGGCTGGGAGTGTCCGAGCTAAGCCCCCAGGACCTTTGGGTGGCTCATGGCCGCCCCCACCCCCAGCACTTCCCAGGCGGCCCTCCCCACCTCACCGCGCCCGCTTCCCTTTCAGGTGGCCCTCCTGAACCCCATCGAGAACCCAGACCTGAAACTGGCCATCGTCATGCTGATCGTCCCCTTCTTTGTCAATGTCAGTGCCCTGCTGCCCCTCTGCCCCGTCTGCTCCCTGCCCCTGAAGCCCCAGGTCCTGAGTGTGCCGGCACTCACTGTCCCCGGGTCCTTCTGTGTGGGCATTCGCCACCTCCCGGTCCCCACCCTGGGCCTGAAGATGGCAGGACTACTTCCTCCCGGGCAGCCCTGCCCCAGGGCCTCCGTGCAAGGTGGAGGGTCAGGGGACTCTGTCTGCCCTCTCCACCAGGGCCCCCACCAAGGAGTGCGCTTCCCCATCAGCACTCCTGAGCACAGAGCCCGGAGCTCCACGCATGAGGGCTAGGAGGGAGGCACAGCGGGAGGCCCGGCCTCAGGTGGGCCAGAGGTGCTGGCAGCTGCAAGGAGCCGGCCCTGAGTCCGGAGACCTGGGGCCCAGGCCCTGCTCCCCCAGCACAGCCGCAGCACAGCCCCGCCCCAAAGCCCTGGGGTGGGCAGGGCAGGGATTTTCTGGCTCCTTCTCTGATAAGAAAAGGGAAGCAAAGAAAATGGAGTTTGGGAGTGTGTGTCTAGGATTCCCGGAGAGCAGGCACTGGGGGAGGTTTTCCTTCCTGCCGCTCTGGGTGCTGCAATCTGGAGGGGGTGGGGGGCTGCTCTGGCCTCCCCCAGAGTGACCTGCGCTCTCCCGCCCCTCAGGCTCTGATGTTTTGGGTTGTGGACAATTTCCTCATGAGAAAGGGGAGGACGAAAGCCAAGCTGGAAGAAAGGGGAGCCAACCAGGACGCGAGGAGCGGGAGCAAGGTCCGCTACCGGAGGGCCGCGTCCCACGAGGAGTCAGAGTCTGAGGTGGGCCCTGCTGAGGCCCCGGCACTCCGGTTGGCACCTGTCCTCTCAGTGCCTGCCAGGGGAGGGAGAAGAGGCCAATAACTCCAGTCCAGCTGGATGGGTCCTGTGGCCCCATGGGAGGGGGTGGAACACCCAGCGGGTGCTGGCCTCCAGCAGACCCCCAGCCCTGAAGAAAAACAGGAAAGCTGGCAAGGACTGGCCGTTGACCTTTGAGCATTAAGGTGTTTGAATCCCTGCCCACTCCTGAAGAGCAAGGAGGTGTTGGCTTAGCCAGCTGGCAGGAGGTCCAGGTAGCCAGACCTCCCAGACCTCATTCCTTATTTTCAAGTTTCCTAATTCAGAGGATTGGACCTGAATGGGACTGGTGACTATTACTAGGGGCATGGAGGCAGCCCTCAGCACTCCCTCTGCACCTCTGTGTGCCGCGGGGTGAAGCCGCAGAAAAGGCTGATGCTCTTCCCCAGAGACACCGCCAGCCGTGTGGGGGAGGTGGGGTGAATGCCGGAGACCTCGTCACCGCACGCCAGCCAGCTCTGCGGCAGGCGCTAGCAGGCCCTATGCAGACCCTAGGGCAGCCTGTTGGGCTCTTGGGGGCTGCCTGGAAGGCGGTTGACTGTGAGCAAGCAGATGAAGGGACAGAAGGGGAACCTGCATCTGCTGTAGGGGCCCCTGGAGTCAGCACAGGGCCTGTCGTGTTGGAGCTCGGTGCCCGCTGGGTGAATGACAGCATCACCGGCAGAGGCAGCTGCTCGTGAGCAGTCGTGGTCACGTGGTCTGACATCTGGCTAATGTGAAATTCACGGTGGCCAGAGCAGCATAAGTTCCGGAGGGTGGCACAGAATGACAAGTGAGGTACGGGCGCAGGTCCGAGCCGGGTGGACGGGGTGCTCTGTGACTGGGCTGAGGCAGGGAGCCAGAGAGCACTTGACAGGGGACAGGACTGGGCAGGAAGCCCCACAGAGGGGTGGTCCCTGAGGTGGGGGGGCAGGACGAGCTCGGGCCCCCTGCACAGCTGCTCAGAGGCCTGAAGGGCCAGGCCAGGGGTGTGGCAGGTGCCCAGTGACCCAGAGTGTTCGCCTGGACGTCCAGGGCACACGGCTCCGTTGTTTGAGGGGCTCGGAAAAGCAAAGGGCTAAGTTACAAAGTTGGCTCAAAGCAGCTGCTCTGAAATGCCCCTGCCTTGGGTTGCCCCGTGTCAGTACTGGGCTTTTTTTGCCAGGCTGACCTGAGGCTGCTGGCCCTTGCTGAGTTGCCCTGATGCAGGCTCGGCCCTGGCTAGTGGGTGGATGGAGGAGTGGGGCACACGCAGAGGGCAAGGGTGTGGACTCGGTGCTGGTTCCAGTAGACCCTGAATGTGCTGGGAGGGAGTGAGGTCTGGGGAGGGCCAGCGGCCTCATTCTGCAGAGGGGCCTCCCCATCCTCTTGTAAAGACCTGAGGCCGCCCAGAGGGGCTGGCACCCTGTGCGAGGGTTGGGGGCAGAGGAAGATCTGCTGGCCATGACTCAGGCCATGCCTGTCCCCTGCCTCAGATCCTGATCTCGGCTGACGACGAGATGGAGGAGTCAGACGCGGAGGATGACCTCCGCGGGCTGCCCCCGCCAAGGCCTGCCAAGAAGAAGAAGCACCTCTTTGGGCTGCCTGTGTGACGTTCCTTCGGGGTCAGGTTTGGGGGCCCAGCAGCCGGCCGCCCTGCCGCCCCCTCCCTCCCTCCTCCGTCTGCCCCTCCTCTTCTACCTCCGTCCTCTGCTCACTCCCCGGCTACTGTGACTCAAGGGGGGGCACGAGCCAGCACCGGCCAGGGCACCTGGAGGTCCCTACCCGCCCGTTGCACTACGAACACCGACCAAATACGCAAGCGAGGCGTCTGTTTGCGGTCGTCCCAAATGGTGTGGTGAGGGAGGGACCCAGAAGCCGCCCCGTGTCTGGCTGGATGGCGCTAAGGAAGAAAACCCCACACAGACGGTGGGTGGGGCCTTTCCACAGGGCTCAGGGGCCAGGAAGATGTAATGTTTGGGGCTAAAAGTCACTCGTTGACCAAGTTGGAACTGCAATGCTTTCTTACTCAAAATGGCTTTTGTAACTTGATTTCTGAAGCCGGTTTTATGAGCTGTCGCAGTGTTAATGTTTTTTGAGTATGTGTTTATTTCCTATGGGACTAATGGGCAAAACATAGATTTTTAAGTCTTCCATATGCTGTTGACTTTTATATTTTTAAGTTATATTTTCATACTATTGTATTTAAAACTCTTTTTAATCCCCAAAGAAATGGGTTTGTTTGCCTTTCATGGGATGTGGGCTGGTGGGAGAAGAAATTTGGGGTTTCTTACTTGTACCATTGCTAGGTAATCCGCGAGGAGATGAGGTAAATGGTCCCGGTGGAGGGAGGTGGCCCATTACCCAAGTCGGCCCGCCCGGTGTTCCTGGCCTGAGCAGGGGGTCGCTGGTCTGCACCGGCACCCCGGGCGCGTGGAGCACGAAGGCTCTGCCCCAGGCCCAGCTCCGTGGCGTTCCTGCTGGCGGACTTGAGGTCTTAGTTAGAGGTGACCAAGAAAAGATCCTAGAAGGTCTTTGTAAAGTCGGAGAAACTGAGGCTGTAGGCCACTCCTGGGTGTTCCCTGCCTTTCTTCAGAACCTCCATCTGAAGTTTAAACGCCGCCTCCGACTCCTCGCCCCCAGTACGGCCTTCAGACCCAGCCTGTGGACAGGCTTCAGGACCCTCAGGCCACCCCTGTGTGCCATCCTGGTGGTGCGCCCTTGTGCACACGGTCTGGAGAAGGGCCTGCAGACCGTGACTCTGCTTCCCCAGGCTCTGGAGCTGTGGGCAGCCGGGCGGGAGGCAGGTGGAGGGTGGGCGCTCCTCCCATCCGTGGGCAGCACGAGGGTCTTCTGCCCCCTCCTTGGCACCATGGGGATGGGCTAGCATCGCACCTGTGCTGCTGTGAGTAGCAAGGCGGAGTAGCCCAGGGGCAGCTGTGGACATGGAGGAGCAGGGAGGCACCCCTCCCGGGTGTGGGCTGGAAGTGGGTGGGTGTGGGGAGACCACGCTGCCCAGAACCTTCTTAGACCCACCTGAAAGTGTGCCTCACTTAGCAGACTGGGTCTGAGCCCAGCTGTGAAGCCAGACATCCGGGGCCTGTCCCCTGCCTCTCACAGCCCTGCCTCACCGTCTCTGGGAGTCCAGAAGGCAGAGGGATCCGGGCTGTGACTGTGGCCCCGGGCGGTGGGCGCGGCGGTGTATGGGATTGCATGCTCTCGCATGTCTGCCCTCTCCCCATGCTCTCCACCACTCCCACCCCCCGTCCCAGCTGTGTTAGTGGGTGTCCCTGCCAAGGGGCGGTGTTTGGGAGGACCAGAACTGGCATTGCTCCTAAGAGATACTAGCCCTTGCAGCCTCACTGACACCCCCCTCCTCCTCTGGGTTCGGTTCAAGCGCACCGTGCCTGCAGCTGCCTCCCGACTTCCCTGAGCGCGGGGTTGGAGCTCTTGAGCCTTGAGCTCCTGAAGTTTTGAGCTGGGGACAGGGTGGGCCACAGAGTATGACAGACAGAGGCTGAGTTATGCAAACCTCAGAGGACCTGCTTGTCTCAGGGCCTGTCCCGCCGCCTCCTGGGCAGCAGGTGGTGGCCTCTCCCTGTGCCCTGATTTTCAGTCAGGGCTTCAGCCTCTGAGCATAGTTGTACGGCTGACTAGCAGATGGATGTCTACAGGGTGTCTGAGCACAGAGGGCCTGGAGGGTGCGGGGGCCTGCACAGCAAGGCCTCTCCCTTCCCCTGTGGGTGCATATGCACGTGTGGGTACACACACGCTCAGAGTCTGTGTTCGCGGGACTGCCTCCTGCAGGCCCTGGGGACTGCTCCATGGTGTGCCCCAGAGCAGGTACAGAGGGCCATGGCCAGAGCTGTCCCTGAACTGTCCTCCCGCCACCACCTGCTCCATGGGACCTTGCAAGGTACAGCCTTTCACCTGGTCACATGGCAGGCAGGTGTCACCATGCTTGAGAAACCATGGGACACCAGATACTGGGTGCCACCCACGTGATGGCCCAAGTCTGCCCCTTGACCAGGCACCCACAATGCAACCTTGTGGTCAAGGTCACGGGCAGTTTTCCATAACCACGGAAATGACCTGATGAGACAAACATCATCTGAATGGAGGAGATCCTCGCGGTCCTCATTTCCTTTTGCTGCCAGTGGGATGTCAGTGGCCTGGAGGGATGTTGGGAGATCCCAGGTGGTAGTGGCTTCTTGGTCCACTCAGCCCAGGGACTGATATGGCAAGTCTGGCATGTCAGTCAGCCTGCAGGTGTGCTGGTGGCCTCGTGCCTGAGGCTTTCCCTTGTGTCCCCTCCCATCAGCAGGGGGTCATGTGTCACTGCCCACCTGTCCTGCCTCCAAAGGCCCTACTTCAGCTGTACCCCAGGCAGGGTAGGCCTGGTGTCCCCATCTCTGGGCTGCCCACCCAGAAGCCTGCAGGGAGTGGCAGCAGCTGGCAGCCCCTCTGCCCTCCCGATGGCAACTCCTGGGCCTTTCTGCAGCTAGACCATCACAGGTGGCTCTGGGAACCTGCCTCTGCCAGTAGCCAGCCTGTGGGGGAAGTCTCCACACTTCAGCAGGGAGTGGAGAGCTCTTGGTCTTATCTTCTGAAACACAGGCAGCTCTGAAGGGCTCTGCTCCGGTGTGGGACTCCGGTCTGACCGCCATTGGCACCCGGAGTGCCTGGGCTGATTTGGTTTGATTTGATTCCGCTTTGTGTGAAGTTTAGGAGCAGTCGTGCTCATGTGAGCAGACCGTGGCCTTCCACAGCCGTCCCAGGTGTGGTGTGGTTCACAGAAACCCGTTTTTGAAATGAAAGGGAATATGGTATGCCGGCACTGTAAAGTGCCTCATAATAAAGTTAGACATCACAGTTTTGTGAAAAAGAAGCCATCGCTTCTGTGGTTGTTGGTTGTGTGTTCGGTGGAGTTGAAACAGCCTAGTGGAGCGTAGAACTCCCCCAGTGAGTCAGAAGGTCCCCCTGGGAACAGAGAGAGAGTGAACCTAGTACGGCTTCATGGTGGCTGTGGGGGCCCAGGTCTGCCGGGGAAACACCGAGCGCACACTGCCTCCCTGCTGACGTGAGTAGAAAGCGGCTCTGCCTCTGCCTGGGGCCAGCGGTGCTGGGGAGGTGGGGCGCCAGAGTGAACATCTTTGTCCCTGTGGCCACAGAGCTGGAGGGCAGGTGACCCCGGGCCAAGCCAGCGTTTGGTTTGATTCTGCTTTGCATGCAGTTTAGGAGCAGGCGGCTGGGCCCTCGGAGGCTGGGTCTGCCCTCAGGGCCCCTCAGCCTCTCGGAGTCCTGGGTCTGCGCCTGCAGCTGTCCGCAGGCGTTCCTCCTGTCAGCACTTGTCTCCGATGGAGCCTGGCAGTGCTCATGTTGGCCTCTGGGGCCAGCTGGCCAGGGGGGATCGGGCTGGGGTGTGTGTGTGTGACACCAGTGGAGTGGCGTTCAGTACAACCAGATGCCAGTGCCTGCCTGGGTTCCGTCTGCCTGGAGCCTTCACGGGTAAAAATAATCTCCACCACAGACTGGCAGGGAGCTTGGGCATGTCCGACCCAGTGGGCGGGTGCTGCCCTACCCACATCCCTGCCCCACACCCAGCCCAGGCCTGCTCTGCTGGGTGCCCTTCGGCTCTTTCCTACAAGGATGGGGTATTGGGAGATAGCAGAGAACAGAGTGGCCTGCACCTGTCCCTGTCTTCACAGCTCAATGCCTGGAGTGGCTTTGGTCTCACCACACACCCCCAAGTGTCCTCAGCCAGGTGCTCCGAGTATCCTCATCCCAGAGGCATGGCTTCCCCTGGTCCTCCTGGGCGCTTGCCCCCTGCTGCTTCATCCCTGTGCTGAATGTGCCCTGGGAGCTGGATGGAGATGGAGCACCCGGGAAAACATGCTAGAAGTGCTCCCGAGGCTTCTCCTGGGCTCATTTTCTCCAACAGGGACAGCCTCTTTGCTCTGGGGCCATGGGGGGCGCCAGTGAACTCGCCAGGAGCAGAAGCTCCCAAGCATCCGGCGTCAGACACGGGACGCCTCTGCTGTGCCGCAGTGCAAGCATAGAAATCTGGACTCTAGGGAAGGGGTAGAGGAGAAAAACAAACTCAGAGCAGTATGGCCTGGCTCAAGACACCCCCACGTGGGGCTGGACTGTCACAGCGGACAGCTCAGACTGCTGCACGCACATTCCAGGACCCACGCCATCAACACCCAAGTCACTGGCAGTCCCAGCACCTCCCATCAGAGCAGCTGTCCCGAGAGTGCAGGATCTCCCCAGCTGTGGGCTTTCACCAGGGCTAAAGCCCCCCAGGCGGCAGTGCTGTCAGCCCCCATCATCTCCAAGAATAAACTCTGAAGCTACTGGCTGTGTGAACCTGAATCACCAGGGAGCCTGCTGGAGGCGGGGGAGTGACTGCCCGGGCAGCCAAGTGGACTATATAAGCCCCAGAGGGCTGGGCGCTGCTCAGCTCCCATCCACCAGCTACTGCCTGCCCGAGGTGCATTCAGAGTGGTTCTCAGCACCCACCATGTCCCAGGTAGGAGGGCCAGGCACCTACCGGGTGCCTGGGGTGGGGTGGAGGGCCTAGGAGGCTGGGCTCTGGGAGGGCAGCCCCAGGCCCCAGCCTGCTGATGGCTCTGTTATCTGGGGTTGGGCAGGGGAACGTGTGTGGTACTTCAGCTCCCAGATCTCTGCGTGTGTCTATGTGAGGGACAGATTGCGTGTGTGGAGTTGTGGAGTTTGGGGTGTGTGCGCTCGTGTGAGGCTGGATCTGTAGGTGTACAGCTGTGCCCAGGTGCCCACTCAGCACTGCCAACTGCAACTGTGTAGTGAGCTGCCCTGGGTGCCCAGCCCAGGCTCAGGGACCAGGGAGCCCCGCCCTTGCCTGCCAGGCTCGGAGATAAGGCCTCAGACTCGTGGAACCCAGGGAGAGGGGCGGGGCGAGCACCGAGCCTGGGTGTCCCAGCACTGCAGGGGCAGACCCCAGCTGCCAAGGGGAGCACTGTCTCTGCCCCCTGCTCCATGGCTGGGCTCCGACGTGGACTGTGACTTCACGGGCATCTGGTGCCTCTTCCCTGTTCAAGTACATTCTAGCCGTCTTCAGGGAGAGAGGCAGTTCCTAAAGGACCCCACCACCCAGTGAGCAGTCTTGGATTTCACTCAAAGCTAGGAATTCAGCCTCAAAGCTGGTTCCTTTCTTCTTTGCCCATGGTGCCCAGGCCTGAGCTTGGCCAGGCAGACAGGGCGTGAGGCTACCGCAGCTCCAGCCCCAGAGCTCCCAGTCTGGGAGGACAGACAGACATGGGCTCGGGGGTGAAGTGTTGTCAGGAAGGCTTCCTGGAGGAGGGGTGGGGCCTTGACTTGGCTGAGTTCAATGAGCAGGGAAGAGGGGTCTCAGGGTCAGGGCACAGAGGTGGAAAGGGGACTCAGCCTCAGGACCTCAGGTGCTAAGATGAGGCCCTGGGCTCCCCAAGGCTGATGCCCCGGAAGCTCCCATGAGGAAGCAGCGCCCACCCGTGAAGGAGGAGGACCTGAAGGGGGCCCGTGGGAACCTGGCCAGACAACAGGAGATCAAGTCCAAGACCTACCAGGTCATGCGGGAATGCGGTGAGTGTCCCTGGGGTGGTGGGCATGCCAACGTGGGTCCGAGGGGAAGGTGAGGGACCCCCAGGACCTTTCCGAGTCCAGAGCTCCTGGGCTCGGGGTGACCCCCACGGGGCCTTCCTGGCAGGCCCCTGACCATGCTTCTGCCTCCCCACAGAGCAAGCTGGTGGCACCGCCCCGTCAGTGTTCAGTGGCAGCCGGACCGGCACTGAGACGGTGTTTGAGAAGCCGAAAGCCAGGCCTGCCAAGAGCGTCTTCGGCTGAGACGTGCCCACCACTCCCCTCCCATGGCGACTCCTAGACGCAGAAGCCTTCCCACCAGCTCCTAATGGCACAGGCGCCTCAGCCGCCACCTCGCACCTGCTGGGACTGCTGCTTTTCCCCCGGGGCACGGCCCCTCTGCAGGAGCCTGTGCACAGCCCCAATAAAGAGGAGGCCCAGGCGGCCCTGGCGTTTGGAGGGTGTTGTCTGGTTATGGGCCATGGCCACTGAGTGCAGGGAAGCGGTGGGGGGTGTTTTGTACCCTACTCGGGCTGTCAGAAGGGTCCCCGAAGACAGTGCAGGTACCGTATGTTGGCCGCCACCACACACTGGGAGCAGCCTTGAACATGGAGACCTGGTGCGGGCCTGTGCGACTTCAGACCAGTCTCCTTTTCCAAGTCGGTTTCCCCTTCTGTATGACCAGGGAGGTGAACCTGTAGCCTAAAACAGGCCACAGTGACACTGCTCAGAGGCGAGAAGGTGGGAGCCTGGGGCCCAGCCCGCCCCCTGCCTTCACGAAGCCATCGATGGAGATGCTCCTGGGAACCCCAAGGCTCTGTGGGACCCAGGGACCTCAGAGCTGCCTCCCCAGCGCCCTTGCTCCTGCTGCATCTTTCAAGGGCAAAGCCAGCTGGAGGCTCCTCTCTGGCCCGGGGCAGCCCACTGCCTGACCTCTCTCTGCCCCCCTCCCCTTGCCGCTCCCATGGCTCATGGGACGCTGGGCCCCTGGCTGGCATGCAGGTCTCCCCTCTGCGGGCCTGTGTTCCCTATGTGCATCAGGCTCAAGATTCAGGGGACCGCAGACGCCCTGCCAGCTGTGACAGCCAGATCACAGGCAGTGCAGGGCTGGACTGGCAGGCCTGGGCGCACTGTGCCTGGCTCCGGGATGATGCCCGTGGGGGACCCTGCCTGTCCCCTGGCCAGGTGGAGCTGGCTGCTCCGAGGCTTTCCCACAATCTCGCCCAGCCCAGCCTCCTTATATAGCCGATTCCAGCCCGGCGTGCTCCCTGCCCTAAGGGTTCAGCCGTCCTGTGGGGACCGGGCCTGGGCTCCTAGGGGAGGCTCTTCCCCAGATTGCTGAGGGGCTGGGAACCCCCATGTAATCCAGTCATATCCAGAGCCAAAGGGCGTGCAGTGTTGACAGGCACAGATGAGGCTTCCGGCTGTCATCGTGCTACGGAAGAGGGATGTTTACTTGCAGCCAGAGGCACAGCACCAGGGTCTGTGACGCCCTCCCCTGGGGCCCAGTGCTCCTGGCTGGCACTGGCGGATGCAGGGCTGATAGACAGCCAGTTCCCAGCCACGGGAAGCCGGTCACCACCCCGGGCCCCGGTAGGCCCCTGGATGGCTGCCTCCCCTCCCCTGATCAGTGTGCCTCTAGGGCCTGCACTGCCCATTCACTCCAAGCTGGCCTCCAGGCTTCCTCTCTCCCAGAGGCTGCCCCCAGCCTCCTCTTCCAGGCCCTCCCTGTTTCCCTCAGGCTGGGCTTATGGAGAGCCTGGTGCGTCACTCTTGTGTCCCCCAGCCTAGGGCTGTGGTTACCACGAGGACCTTCTTCCCTGACCCAGGACTTGGCCCCCAGCCACCCTTGGCTGAAGCATCGTTACCCCACTTAAGAGCACAGACCCAGGAGGCAGGCTGACCCAGGGCTGATGGGGACACAAGCACCAGATGTGTCTGGATACCCTGATATTTGTTCACTGTATTTCTACTTGATTAAAAGAATACGGAACAAAGTCACTGGTAATGCCCCCATGTCCTGGGCTCGTGGCGACCACACTGCCTCGGCGCTGGTGATCAGTGTGTGCCTTTCTCTAGCCATGATGTGTGGGGCCCCTTGGCACGACTGATCTCCACGCAGCCACCCCTTCAGGAGCCCTGCTCTTCTGTCCCATGTGTTCCAGTAATTCCCCAGCAAGACATCTGGGCCAAGGGGTGGGCATCTGCATGGCTGTCAGTTTGTATTGCTGAAGTGCAGGTCTTAGGGGGCCTTGCTGGGGTTGAATCAAGAACCCTAGCTAGATTAAGGAGGCCCGAACAGCAGCTGGGACGCCAGGAGAGAGAAGGGGGGACCTGGGCACAGCCTCTTTCACACCAGCATTAAGGCATATCCACCCTTTGTTCGCCCACTCAGACACCCCAAGGCCCTGCAGTGCCTTAAGGGCCCCCACTGCCCAGTCACTCCAACCTGGCCTCCAGGCCCCCTTCCTCCCAGAAGCCTCCTCCAGGCCCTCCCCGTTTCCCCCAGGCTGGGCTTATGGAGAGCCTGCTGGTCACTGCCATGACCTCCACCCTTGGGAGCCTGGTGGAAGACTGGGCTGAGGGCTGGTGGCCTGAGAAGATTCTGGGCCTTGGAGGAGGGCTCCAGCACCCAGCTGCCACCTGAGCCTGCCTTTCCTCAGTCACGTCCCTGTCCCCAGCCAAGGTCCACAGGACATTCAGTCTGCCTGCTTATCTGAGGCCACTGCAGGTTTTGGCTTGTAGATCCCCATTTCCCAGAACCTGCCCACACAGGGGCGGGGCAGCGAGCAAACTATTAATTCATTCCCCACCTCCTCCCACGTTCAGACGCAGCCTGCCAGGCACCGGAGCCAAAATGAAGATCCCAAGCCCTGTCTGCACCTGTGGCACCGTGCTGACCCTGCTGTCCCTGCTCGCGCTCTTCCAGACCACCACGGCCAGAAAGGTAGCGGGTGTCCCTCACTGTGTGTGCACCTGAGCGCGAGTGGTGTGAACCGCCTAAGGAGGAGAGCCTCTGTGTGCGGGTGCAGAAAGTATAAATGACCATGAATCAGTGTGTGCAAAGAAATGGTGCTGACCAGCTGCCAGGCACCACCCCGAGGGCTTTAGGGATATTCTCCCATTTAATAGAAGGGGTCATCGTGTTTTACAGGTGAGGAAAAGCAGGTTAGCAAGTCGGTTACACTTTCTGTGTATCAGTTTCCTCATCTGTAAAGCAGGGTAAAAAGAAAAGCTATACAGAGGTCCTGGGGTTTCTGAAGATCAGACCTGTAAGACCTATGAAGAGCTTAGCGTGGTGCCTGCCGTGGAGCAGACACGCAGGTCTGTGTTGAACTGCGTGTGCAGCTGCGCAGAGCTGGTGAGGACCACAGAGCATCTGCCTGAGGGACCCCCCGCTGTGGGGATGTGGGGGGCATCTGGGGGAATCCACATGCAGGGAAAAGGTAGCAAATAGGAAGCTTCCCAGTTCACAGAGACTGGGCCCTCTGTACCTCCAAACTCTCCCCGACCCATAGGCCCCTGGTGGGAGACTGGAAGTTGTTCCCCATTCCCATAAAGGCTGAGGTCACCAGAAATCAAAGGACTTCATCACTGCCCTTTCACCCGGCAGAACTAAGACAGCATTCGAAGCTGCTTGACCCACCAGGGCCCTCTGCCTGAGGCTGAGCAACAGCCCCTCTAAGACACATGGAGCCCAGGCTCCACCACTCCCTCCCTGCATGCTGACTGTCTTGTGTGGGGCCCCCAAGGAGCAAGACGAAAGTGTCCCCTGCTCCCCGCAGCATAGGGTGGGGAATGAAGCGCACAGCTGCCTCTAGCTCAAGGCGTTCACATAAGGATCGGACCAAGTCAGGGCCTGCTCTTGAAGAGTGTGGTCCCTAGAAGGGGTGGCATTGAATCAACCCCACCTCCTCCTCCTCCACTGTAGAATGACATCGACATCTACAGCCTCACGGTGGACTCCAAGGTCTCGTCCAGATTCGCCCACACAGTGGTCACCAGCAGAGTCGTCAACAGGGCCGATACTGTGCAGGAGGCCACGTTCCAGCTGGAGCTGCCCCAGAGAGCCTTCATCACCAACTTCTCCATGTAGGTGCCCCCTGCCCTCCTCCTCGGGCCCCTCCACAACCCAGCACTGTGCCACCATCTCCCCAGTGCCCTCTTACTGATGGGAGAGGTGCCAGGATGTGTGCCTAAGGTGTGCACTCTACCTATAGGCAATACAGGGAACCAGAGGCTCTACCCAGAACCTCTGTGCTTCTCAGAGACGTTTCCATCCCTCCCTCCGTGCCTCCATCCATCCATCCCTCTTTCCATGCATCTGTTCTTCCTGTCATCCATCCATCCCTCCAGCATCCCTAGTGCTGCCTGGGTGACGTGGGAACTACAACATTTTTGTCTGTCCACAAGGAGTACAGACTTGGGACATCCTGAGGCCAGGCCGAGGCAGGAAGGATCGCCAAAAGGCAGATCACAGCGCAGAATGTGGAAACCATACCCCCAGGCTTCCCCACAGTGGAGCCATGCCTCGAGGAGGGGACCTCCTTGTCGCGGGAAGTTCTCAGCCAGGCTGTCTCCCAGCCCCCAACTGGGACACCGCAGAGGGCCCTCCTGCCCTGGGTCTGAGGCCCCTGGGGACTCTGGGGACTGTGTGAGCCGTGACAGTCCCCACCCTGTCCTCTGCTGTCCTCCCCCACCTTCCTGACTTGGTTTTGCAATGTTTGCTGAGCCCAAGAGCTCTCTGCCCCCTGGCCTGGCAGGAGAGGCCATGATTGAGGACAGGCCAGAGGGAGGGGGAGGGGACGTGTGGGGAGCAAGTGTATCTCAGGCAGGGTCCCCAGCATATCCTGGGGCCTCTACAGTACTGTCCCCTCTGCCTGCCCCTCTGGGCTGGGCTGGGGCCTGAACTGCCCAACTTATAGTGGGTATATCCACATGGATGCCAAGGCCAGTACACCCATTGCATCTGCAGAGCCCAGGACTGGCACCCCTCTCTGGGCCCAGATCTTGTTGCTTATGAGATAGGGATGCAGGGGGCAGGGTGCCTCACTGTCTGAGTTGGCCGGGAGCCCCAGCTGGACATCTGGGAGGTGGAGCCCTGTGCCCACGCACCAGCTCCCTCCCCTGCCCAAAGTTCAACTATGACCAGAAAGGTCAGGGAGGTGTGGAGGAGGGGCGGCCTAGCTGCCCCCTCCCCGCCCACCCCTGCGTGCTCCTGCCCTTGCACACCCGCCCTGGATGGAGTCGGTGTTTGCCTGATACATCCCTAGTGACCCATGGGTTCTGGAGTAGGCGTTTCCCCTCCAGAGAAACACACCAGCAGTTCTTTCTCAGTCCCAAAAACGGCCACAGGACTTGTGTTCATACCCCTAGGCATCCCATTCACCAGTTGTCAGAAATCTTCCCCAGAGGCCCACCTCTCTGCAGAGCGCCCTGCCCCATGTTGGTGGGAAGAG